TCATCCTTTATCAATTTTCAATGTGATTGAAAGACAAACTAGGACAAGGAAATGAACACAGATATACAGAAATCCTCCATCCCCGAGTTCCCGTCCCAAAGACCTGCACCACTTGGGATTGTTCAGGTCGAAGCCTGGAACTTGGAACTCCTTCTGAAATGGGTGGCAGGGATCCAACTCTTGGATTGTCTTTGCTACTTCAGGTGCATTATGATGGAACTGAATTGGAATTGTAGCACCCTACAATTGATTAACCTATTCAGTACTGGTGTCTCAGGTGATATCTGAACCTGCTATAGCATGGCATCCATATGGAAAAATGAAGTTTGCTAAAAGAATTATTATTTCGGTTTCAGAACGTCATTATAATACAACCTTACTAGAGTTATTATTATTTCTTCCGCTAAGTTTGTCAGTTGAGTCAACCATATGACATCTCAATTTACATAACCAGGATTTTATTGTAGTGTTTAACAACAACCACGGCACCAGTAGGGTCTATCCAGGCCTCTCCTTGGCAAGTAGGAGCCTCTCTCTTACACTGTCTGTCTCTTACACTGCCCTATTCCCCTCTCTACAAAGACCTACATTCTATACTCCTCACAAGCCCCAATTCTCCTACTGCCTGATCAAGTTGCTTGCCCTCACCTGAACCTCTACTGCCTGGTGGAAGTAGTTTGTTTTGTTTCAGGCTGAGGACACAGTAGAGCTCACCCTGACTGTCCCTGATATTTCCTTCTTCCCAGGAGGGTCATGGATAGGGAGCTTTTTACCTTTTTAAAAAATATATATTTACTTAAATGTCAAAGTACAGAGAGAGGAACAGCAAAAAAGGGAATTTGAATTGGCTGATTTATTCCCCAGATAGCAACAAAGCACAATGTTAGGCCAGGACAAATCCAACAGACTCGTTTTCACCTCCCAAACACCTGGGCCATCCTCTGATGCTTTCCCAGGTCTTCATTCAGAGCTGGAAGCAGAAGTGGAGCAGCCATGATGCAAACAGACACACTTGACATGCTGCCATTGCAGGCAGGAGCTTAACCAGCACTGGGAAAACACTGTCCGCTCCCAGGAATTTCTCTTAATGATTTTGCTCCCACTGCTCCTGGACAAGATATTTTTACAGAAGCGGTCAAGTCTTGGTGTGACAAGTTCACCTGACACCAGCTTCTATGTCAATGTGGGCTCAAGTCCAGCCTCATCTGCATCCCATCCACCTTCCTAATGATGCTGTTCAGAAAGCAGCAGGTGATGCCCCAACTAGAATAGAAGACATGGCTAAGATTTATTTGAAAGAGTGAACCAGGACATGGTGTGTATGATTTCTCTCTCTCTCTCTCTCTCTCTCTCTCTCTCTCTCTCTCTCTCTCTCTGCCTTTGGAATAAATAATGAAATAAATAAATAATGAAATAAATAAGCATCTTACATAGAAGAACTAACTTTGCAGCAGTCTGACCTACCTAGGAGCCCTCCAGGACCTGCAGTCCTCCCCGCTCCCACCTGCAAGCACTGTCCCTTTGAATTTAAGTTCTTGCAGCAGAGTTGTGTTAGCCACAGTCTTCACCCCATAACCTGTTCTCATCATCCACATCTGAAATGGTGTCAATCTACTCATGACCACTGTTCTTAGTTAAAATCATGGAGATTTTCAATAATGTCTTTTGAACCTCCCTGACTACATGGAATACAAGGACAAGATGGATCCCAGAAACAAGGTGCTCAAGGAGAAATGCCAGGAAACAAAGATACCTATTGTGTGCTTCAAATCTTGCGAAGAAATTCTGGGAAAGGCAGGACCCTCCTGGCAGAAGGCAGAGAGCCAGGTGCCAGGGGCCTGGTGTGGGAGATGAACTATGACGAGACAGGAGGGAAAGTCAGAGTAGTATGAATGTCTGTGGTGTCATAACATTAGATGCTTGTCAAATATCTTAGTTTTCAGCTGAATACTGGAGTATTCAGTCATGTGCCAAGTAACATTTCAGAAATCTAGAACAAAGCTTTGACTTCCAGCAGCAGCTAATCTATCCCGTGTCCCAGATGTAAGCAAAACATCATCCAGAGCCTATGTGTATGAGGCCTTTGTTTCCCTTTATATATAGTGTTGTTTGTGATCCAGATCAAGTACTTCTTAACGTTTTGGTTGCATTAATTTCTTTTTTAAGATTTATTTATTTTTATTAGAAAGGCAGATTTACAGATAGAAGGAGAAACAAAGAGAAATATCTTCCACCAGCTGGTTTAATTCCCAAGTAGCCACAACTGCCGAAGATCAGGGAATCTGAAGCCACGAGCTTCTTCCAGATCTCCCATGCAGGTGCAGGCTCTCAAGGCTTTGGGCCATCCTCTACTGCTTTCCCAGGCCATAATCGGGGTACTGGAAGGGAAGTGAAACAGCCATGATACAAACTGGCACACAATTGAGATCCCAGTGCATGCAAGGTAAGAATTTAGCCACTGAGCCATTACACTGGGCCCAGTCTTAAGTTCCTCAAAATTATGGGATTGAGTGTTGAGCCTTGTATATATAAGACTTTCAAAATGCTTGCTTATGAATCTCAGCTCCTATTCCTGCCTGCATATGCCAGCATGTGCAGGCCTGGGAGGATGGGATGATAGCTCAAATAAGTGTGTTTGTGCCATCAGTGCAAGGGACCTGGATGGAGCTCCTGGTTCCTTGATTTAACCTTAGTCATGTTTGGGAACAACCAGTCAAGGGACTGGATCTCTCTCTCGATCTCTCTCTCTCTCTCTCTCTCACTCTCGCTCTCTCTCTCTCTCTTTCTCCGTGTGTGTATATTTGTGTGTATATATTTCAGTTTTCATACTCTGTGCATTTCACTTTCCCTACTTCTTACATGAGAAAAGCAGGTATGTATGAACATTTGGTACAAACATTAGGTCACGTCTGGGAACCCTTCATCCCATATCAAAGTGCCTGGGTTGGAGACCCAGTTTTGCTTATGATTCCAGCTTCCTGTTGATACACATGCTGGAAGCAGTAGGTGATGGAATCAGCATAAGAATTCCTTCCACACACAGGGAGGACCCAGATGAAGCTCCAGACCTCAGGCCAGCTCAGCCCCTGCTGTTGCAGTACAGGTATGTGGAGAGTGAATCCGTGTACAAGAAATTTTTTAATCTCAGTCAATTTCTAGTTGTCTATTTTCCAGTTCCCTAAACAAATCTCTTTATTGAGGTGAATACAAATCTTGATCCCATATTGGAGATGGTAAAACTGAAACTCAGAGAAGTGAAGCTGTGAACCCAAGGATTCAGAGCCGGGAGGCAGAACAGGCAACATGTTGATCAGATCTGAGGGGTTCCAGCACCTGTGACCCTTCCTGAAGTAGATGGCATGTTAGGATTTCAACTTTCCATCCTGCTCCTATTATCAATTGGCCACCTGGTGCCACCTATGCAGCCACACAAAGAGGGAACCCTGAGTACTTCCCTTGGCTGTCAGTCCTCCATGTGCAGCTGGTGGGGACTGTGGCCTTGGACCATGGGAGATCTGGTGCTCCACCACCTGTTCTGGAGTGGGGCCCAGTCCAGCCCCCTCCACCTCTCTGCCCTATATTAGAGGCCAGGTTCCGTTTCTCCTTCCCTTCTTCTCCAGATCCACAATGATCCGGCTGCTGAGCTCCCTCCTCCTTGTGGCCCTGGGTAAGTCCCTGCCCAAGTCTACCTGTGCTGCCTTGGGCCAAAAGCCCTGAAATCTGCTCCCCACCCTGGGTCCCATGATCCCAACACCTGTTTCCAGAGGAGGAGTCTCAGTGTGTACCTGGGTTTGGTAGTGGGAGCTTTCAGCTTAGTGCTGGGGAGCAGAGAGGAGGGAAAACAGGAGGACTGGGAGCCGCACCAAGGGCAGTGTCACTGCTAAAATCACTGCTGAAGAACCACATGATTAAGAATCTGGCTCTGTGCTTAGACTGCATGATATGGAATTTGCACTCCCCTGATGAACACTCTAATTCTCCACTCACACTCCTTCTACCTGGCTCTATAGCCTATGATCAGCCTTGTCCTGGTCTCTGTCACACTAAGTGGCAGCTCTGAGCCACCTCTTGTGAGCAGCCTCTGCTGACTGACAATCATGGTAACATGAGATTTACTGAGTGGTAACCATATGCCCAGAATATTGAGCGGTTATTCTGTGGGTTCTCATGTCATTCTTATCACAGCCCCTCTGGGTCATTGCTGTAATTGTCATTTTACAGACTGGCACACTGATCCTCAGAAGAGTAATATAGTTCAACTTAGAACAAGGAGCTGAGCTGCACTCTGAACGCAGAAGGTCTTATTTCAAAATCTATTTAGAAAAATTTACTGACGTATTTTATTACAGAGAGAGAGAGAGAGACAGAGACGGGGGAGAAAGAGTGAGAAAGAGAGAGAGAAGAGACTGACAGACATATGTCCCTCCCTCGAGTTGCTCTCCAATGCATGACTGAAGCCAGCAGTCAGTGGGGACTGGGGCTCCAGCACTCAGGCCATCATTTCAGCCTCCTAGGGCACACACTGAAGGGAGCTAGAGCTGAACACACAGAGTCAAAGCACAAACCAGGCACTTGGTGTGGGCTGTGGGTGACTGACGAGCTGTCCTACCACAGCACCAATGCCACCACAAAGCCTCCACCCTCGGGGACAGCAGCCAGCACTGGGAGAGGGCTCCTTGTCCCAGACTGTGTGAAGTGTCACCCTCCTCAGACACTCCATTTACTGAGGCTGCATTTTTATCTCCATCCTTGGACTCCTGGGGCTCTGGAAAGTCCTGTTGTAGTCCCAGTGCTCACTTCAAAAGTGGCTGCTGAGGGTCAGAGAGCCAAAGGAGCTTGTGGGGGTTAAACAGCCTGTGTGGGATCATGGAACTGGGATCCTTCCCAGCTTTCTTATTGGGGTCCCTCTTCTGACTGATGCCCCTCCTCTTCTCTCCTCTCTAGCCACAGGCTCACACCCACCAATCCACATCCCCTCCAGCCACTTCTCCAACCCCTCCAGCCGAGTGGTCAATGGTGTTCCTGTAGAGCCTCACAACAAGTATCCCTGGCAGGTAAGAGCAACCCCAGCTGCACTGACTCCCACTATGGGCTTGGGACTCCATGTTCTGATTGCAAAGTCTCAAATTCTGACCCCACAGCTCGCTTTGAAACCCTCACATCAATATTCTAGTTTATAGACCTGTAAGAGTCAACCTCGCACAGAGATTTTACCCATGCCATCTACAAATCTCATTGGACTGTTGGCAAATTAAGAGTCATCTGGGGTAGGGAAAGTCTTAACTCAAGCAGCTGGTACAATAATAGAGGAATCCAAGCTCTATATAGAGGCAGAGCTGTGGACTCAGTTCCACTTTCCTGAGTCTCAGAGCAGGGTCTAAGAGCTGGGGCACATAGAGTAGAGTGAAGGGCAGCGCTGAGGGTGAGGTTTGCTGTGGAATACAGTAGCCATTGGCCATATAGGGAATTCATATGTGAATTAAATGCAATTGCATCCAACATTTAGTTTCTCTATGCCATCCACACTTTAAGTGTCCTAGAAATGCATGTGGCCAGTGGTTCCCAACTTCAACAGCAGAAACAGAGAACATGTCCAGTGCAGGGTCAAGCAGTCTGGATTGGAAGGGAGCAGTGCTGTAGCCCTGTCAGGCACATGGCTCCTCCAGCAGTGACTTAGCCCTGCCATTGCAGCAGGAAAGCAGCCAGAGAGCATGTGTGCCTGAGTGAGCATCCTATGTGCAGTCAGCATCTGTGTGCACACAGACCACAGCCAGCCTGGGAACCGAGGGCCACACTTCACTCCCCCACCCTTGGTCTCCAGGGAGATATTGAGAATCTGAATGAATAGGAAATGAGAATGGAGGCAAAAGGAGTCAGAGTGAGCTGTGCTTCAGAAGCTCTAGAGGGCCTTGAAGAGCTGAGGTGCAGAAGAATGGGAACCTAAAAGAAAAGATGGTCCCGGAGGCTCTCAGGAGACAGAACATGTGATGCTTCCCTAGAGGGAAGCGAATGCTGGGGTTCTCAGGGTGGAGAGACTGAGAATCCCAATGATCCCTGAGGTAAAAAGGATAGGACTTTCATGAGCGGATGTGCAGGTTGTCCACTGCGTCACTCAGAAGAAGGGCTATTCTTCTCTGTGAACACACAGTGCACAATCTACAGTTGTGACCTAAACCTCTTATCTTTTCTGGGCTTCCAGGTTCTCTTGCAGTATCAGGTGAGTGGAGGCTGGTCCTTCACCTGTGGAGGGACCCTCATCGGTCGTTCCTGGGTTATGACTGCTGCCCACTGCATCTCGTGAGTTCTCCTTCTGCCCCACCCCTGCACTGTCCTTTGTCCCTGTGTGAGAGCCAGGAAGCCCAGGCCATGGAGTGATTATGCAGAGTTGGCATTCAGGCCCAAACTGACCTCCACTACTCTGACCTGGCAGGAGCGGCCGGACATACCGGGTCGTGTTGGGCGAGTATGACCGCTCAGTGATAGAGGGACCTGAGCAGTTCATCACTGTGGAAAAGGCCTTTGTACACGAAGACTATGATGGAGATGGGTGAGTGAATTCCAGCCTGGACCGGGCTCCTGTGTTCTTCCCTCCATGACCACAGCTCAACTAGTCCCACACCAGTGTTCATGTGGCTGATAATTTACTGATGAGAGTTCACAGTCAGGAGCAGAAACATTAGAAACCCAATACAGGACTTAGAGACTATCGTCATGGAAACCCCAGTGCACCCCCACAAGGAGCCTGTGGCTGTAAAAAGTGAGACACAAGAGAAATGTCCAGAGTGACAGCAGGCAGAGCAGTGGTCCCCATGGTGTGGTCTGTGGGGGCACCAGCCGCAGTGTAACCTGGGAACCCTGTGAGTGATGTCAGACCTCAGGCCTTGGCCAGAAATAGTCTCAGAGCCTGGGATTGGGTCCCAGAATACTGGATGCCTTTTTAAAAAAAATTGTTTATTACTTATATTTATTTGAAAATCAGAGAGAGAAAGAAATGTTTCTTCTACTTATTCAAATCCAAATGTCTGCAAGATTTACACCCACATGAGATGAGAGCCAGGAGGCTGAAAATCTGTCAGGATGTGCAAGCAGGAGGCAGAGTTCAGGCAACAGAGCCCCCAGCTGCTTTTGCAGGTGTACATGAGGAGGAAGCTGGAACAGAGCAGCTGAGACTGGCACCTGGCACTGTGATGGGGGATGTAGCCCCTAACCAGTGAGCTACCTGTCCCCCAATAACTATGTGCCACAGCTATCCTGGGCATTATGATGCAGCTGCAAGATGAGACCATAAGTAGTACTAGGACAACTGCCAAGGCCTGACGGCTTCTGGAAGCTTCTGAAGTCTTAGAAGAAGAAAGTAGTAGCAGGAGTCTCCAAGGCCATTAGGCTATACATGATATTGAAGATATATTTATTTATTACTGAAAAGGCAGAGCTACAGATGTAAGGAGACAGAGATCCTCCATCCTCTGGTTCAGTTCCCAAATTGTAGCAGTAACCAGAGCTGATACAGTCTAAAACAGAAGCTTTTTCCATGTCTCCCACAACGGGGCAGGAACCCAAGGACCTGGGCCATCATCCACTGCTTTCCCAGGCCATAAGCAGGAAGCTAAATAAGAAGTTGAGCAGACAGATATCAAACCAGTACCCATTTCTGAATCCAGCACCTATGGGGTCCAGCCTGAAATGGTACCATACCATGCTTCCAACTGATGTCTTTGTCCCCACAGCAATGATATCGCCCTCCTCAAGCTGTCTGAATGTGCCGAGCTGACGGATGAGGTCAAGCCTGCCCGCCTCCCTCCTGCTGGCTACATCCTACCCCATGGGACGGAATGCTACGTCAGTGGCTGGGGCCGGCTCACCAGTACGTATTGACCAGGGACCATGGCAGAAAGACAGGGCCTGGGGGCCAGGGACGCATGTTAATTTATGTCCAGTTTAAGAGATTTTCTATTTCTCAAGAATCCCAAACTGAGCATCTTGAAGGCTTTCATGTGCTAGATCAGGAACATAGAGTCACACACAGTATGAAGATGGTGTAACTGGGAGACGCCCTCAGGCCAGGAGAGCCCTGGGACTCCATGGCACTCCCCAGGCTCCTAGCCTGCCCTCTGGCCCTCATTGCTCTCTGTCTTTGCAGCTGGTGGGCTACTCCCAAATGTACTGCAGGAAGGGCTGCTGCCCGTGGTGGACTTTGAACACTGCTCCCAGCCTGACTGGTGGGGATCCTATGTGGATGAAACCATGGTGTGCGCCGGCGGGTATGAAGTCTCTGGCTGCAACGTGAGTCACTTAACAGCAGTCCCAGGTGGGAAGGATCCCAGGTCCCTCTGCCATCTCCATGGAGGCAAAGGAGCTGTCCGCTCTGTTGACCCCTCTTGGGCTTCTGATCAGACTGATTTAAGCCAGCACAACCCACATACTCTGACTCCTGGCCCAGCTAACAGGCTCCCTCACCTGGGACCATCACTGTCCTCCTCCTGCTCAGGCTTCCCCAGCAGCACAGCCGGGACACTCACACCACCATCTGAAGTCACCCACTCTGGGCTCTGCAGGGATCCTCAACCACTGTGCTGTGGCAGCTGAGTCCTCCTAGGCAGCAGGGAAGGTGCTGCCAGCAGGGGGCGCTGGCGTCTCTCGGGGCTCCCTCTGTGCCAGGGGCTGTGCTGAGGTCCTGTGTGGGTCCCTTCCTGCTCAGCAGCTGTGGTAGCACAGACCCTGGTCCTGGCCAGCTGAGGCCCTGAGGGTGGGGGAGGTGCAGCAGTGTAGGTGTGTCTGCAACCCCCAGGTCAGGGACAATTCCTTCCAGGTGAGACATGGCAGCTCAGTCCCCACCCCTCTGACCATCACAGGGTGACTCTGGAGGACCCCTCAACTGTCCCGGAGTGAACTGTGAGTGGGAGGTCAACGGCATAGCCAGCTTTGTTTCTGCCCGTGGCTGCAACACAGAGAAGAAGCCCACGGTGTTCACCCGCGTGTCAGCCTACATTGACTGGATTAAGAAGGTGAGGACTGAGGAGCCGGGATGACTCCAGGTTGGGAGTTCTCTTACAGGAGGCTGGGTGACATGGTAGGAGGGTAGATCCTGGTGAGGGGCAGCAGGGAACCCAGAAGGGCAGTGGGGGAAGGAGCCTTGGGGACATTCCCGAGCGGCCTGTGGATGTGCTCTGCTCTGTGTGGCCTCAGAATTTAACAGGCTTTGGGTGGAATTTGCACTTCCGTATTCAGTGAGGGTTTCTAATTGTGTCCTCTGGTACGGTCCTTACTTGTCATAGAGGACAGAGGGACACAGGGACATGTGGCCACCTCGTGGTGTGGGTGTGAAAGGAGCAATAATGGTGAGGCATAGTGAGAGCAATGATGCAAGTTGGGGTCCAGACATCATCAAGGACAGCTTGTTAGAGAGAAAGAGTTAATACTGTCCATGATAGCGGAGGTGACCATCAATTAGAGACCATGTAAATGTGCACCAGTCCAGTGATGGGGTTGTTGGATAATAGCTAATCCTGAATGGAGCAAGTATTGTGGTCACCACTGCCATTAGAGGAAGAAGCTGAGGCTCAGAGAGGGCAGGACACTCTCTCGGCTCACACAGGGAAGGAGTGGTCAAGCAGGGAATTGACCCTAGTTCCCTTTGACTGCAGAATCCATGACGCTAACCAGGATGTTCTGTCCCCTCTCTGCTCATTTCCAGACAATTGAGGAAAACCTTCCATGCCCGTGCTGATCCCACATGTTTATAAAGAATAAAAATCTCCCAGCAAAGCAAAATAATAAATAAATAAATAAAAATAAAAATCACTCAGAAAGTCCTGAGTTGGGTCTCTTTCCTCCATTGCCTCTTCCCCTCTGGCCTGTTCCTGAGATCTGAGAGCTGGTGTGCAGAGATGAGACCAGAATCAGCATCTCACATGAGGACCAGGAGCTCCTGTGGCCCTGGATGAGGAGTTGTGAAGGGGTGACCATCCTCTGGGTTGGATGGGACTGTGGGTTCTCAGTCCCAGGATTTCAGTGTGGAAACTGAGGCAGTCCCAGCACAACTGGGACAAACAGGTCCCCCAGGATAGAGTCCCTCAGAGAATCCGTGCAGGCACAGCACAAAGTGACACCTGCAGAGAACCTGAGCTTGCCCCCTATTGAGAGGCTCGTGGTAGAGTGGAAGGACCAGGGGTTTCTGCCTCCACTGACTGGCAGAAGGAGGGGGGCTGTGGTCATTTATTCATTCAGTATCATTAATCCCTCATTTCAGAGGAGGGCTCTGAGAGGGACAGATGGTTCCTGCTCTGAAGTGATTCATTATTTTCAGAGAAATGCATTTGTTGGTGTTGGGTGCATCAGGTAAAGCCTCTGCCTGCAGTGCCTGCATCCCATATGGACACGAGTTCAAGTCCCCACTCCTCTGCTTCTGAACCAACTCCCTGCAGATGGCCTGGGGGAAAAGTGGAAGATGGCCCAAGTCCTGGGCACCTGGTCTTGCTTGGGAGACCTGGAAGAATTTCCTGGCTGCATTTCCTGGCTGCTGGCTTCAGATCAGCCCTGCTGTGCTGTGGTGGTCATTTAGGAGTCCTAGATGAAAGATCATTTATCTGCCTCTGATTCCTGGCTTTGTCTTGATTCAGCTACAGCTGTTAATACCAATTTGAGTGAATAAGCAGATGGGAGATCTTTGTGTCTCTTCCTCTCCCACTGTAAATCTGACTTACAAATAAAAATTAAATAAAGAATCAAGATGGCAGAATAGGATAAGGACATGTTTAAACAGATGGAGAAATATTAGCCGGCGTGAACCAGAGAGGGCACATTCCAGTAAATAGAAGAAGACAAAACAACAGCTGAGGGGTACCTGGAGACTGACAGACACAGGAAAGCATTGGACATAATGGTGTGGTGTTGCAGTGACTGATACCCCAGCAGCATTCAGCAAACGGCGATCTGAAGCCCACCGGCAGCCGGAACTCCACCAACAACCAGATGGGAAGGGACTTTCAAGAGAGCTCAGGAGGTGAACCCAGACAAAGAACTGTCCATCCTGCTGGTCTGTTTGATTTGACCAGGAGCAGAGACAGAGTGGCAGATCCCAGACCAGCGATGGGAAAACAGGATGGATTTCATAGCCCAGTCGGCCTCCTAGAGCTGAATCAGGCACCATTTTGTTTAAGGAAACAAGGGCTATGGGGCAGAACTGCACGTGCACTGAGCTGGGCGTGAACTCATTTCTGGCTCAGTGAGCTGCAACAACGTAACATCCTGCAGGTTCCACCCAAGACAGGTCCAGGTAGCCCTCAGATCTGAAGAACTCTAGTAGTGGCACATCAGGCACCATTTCTTACAGTGTGGCAAAGAATTTAAGACTGCAGAGGACAACAGTGAGATATGCATGTGCTGAGCTCAGTGAGAACTCACTAAGCTCAGTGTATTGCATTGGTCCCACAGAAAAATAACGATGTCTATGGCATCATAAGGGACAAAACATGTCCATGTGATCACCGGCCCAGCTGCAATTGCCAACATGGAGCGAGTGGGCCAGCAGGCCAGGCCAGCAATGCGAGGAGGAGCTCAGATGTCTGGGGTGGCTGATAGGGCAGATAGCAGTGGCAAGCACTCAGCCCGGGATGCTGGAGCCAAAGAATGCCACTCCTGCCCACACGCAGCCTCCCAGGGGCCCTGTGGACCTCTGAGAAGTGTCACTATATCCGACTGGCAGGCAGTGATCAAGAATGCAGACATGTCTGAGGACATGCAACAGGATGCTGTTGACTGCGCCACAAGGCCACGGAGAAGTACAACATAGAGAAGGACATTGCTGCCTAAATCAAGAAGGAATTTGACAAGAAACACAATCCTACCTGGCAATGTATTCATAGGCTGAAATTTGGCTGAAATTTTGGCACAGATGAGACAAAGCACTTCATCTATTTTTACTTGGGTCAAGTTGCAATCCTCCTCTTCGAGTCAGGCTAGGTGGCTGTGGCTGTGGTGACAGTGGAGGCGGTGATGGCAGCAGGCAGTGTTGCTGGGACTGTTCTTGCACTGGGGCCAGCATCAGAATGTCCTCTCCAATAACTGTGCTACTGCATGGACTGTATACTCGATTTCATGTGTATGTCACAGTAAACAAAACCAAACTCCTTTCTGTTTAGTTGCCTGGGGAAGAAGGCCGGTTTATGTTTATTTTTCAAGATTTTTTAAAAACTTATTTTGGTTGTATTGCACTAGGAAATCTCTCCCTGCCTCTCTTTTCTCTTTCTTTTTCTTTCTCTCTCATTACACAAAATAAAAAGCCCTTAACAACCCTCCCCCTTTAAATATAGGTCAATGTGGCCATCAGACCTAACAGTCAACAGCTTCTGGCAAGATGAGCACCAATAACAACCTAGCTATATAGGAAACCTGGAGTCTCCCTAATCCTGGGACCTACTCCAACTGGAAGTAGAAGAAACGTTGTACAGAAAATGGTGTAGCCTAAGCATGGTATCACAGGAAGTGGAGACTGATGAGTCAGGAGCTGGGATTACAGTGACCATGGTGAAAATCTAACGTAAGAACCCAGATCTGGGACTTGCAGGAGGAAGTGGCACAAGTGAATGTAAACTAAAAGATGTGTATTGGGCCCAGTGGCATGGCCAAGCCTCTGAAGTCCTCGCCTTGAACGCACCCAGGATCACGTGTGTATGCCGGTTCTAATCCCAGTGACCCCACTTCCCATCCAGCTCCCTGCCTGTTGCCTCAGAAAGCAGTCGAGGACGGCCCAATGCTTTGGGACCCTGCACCCGCGTGGGAGACCCGGAAGAGGTTCCTGATTCCCGTCTTCGGATCGGCGCAGCACCAGCCATTGCGCTCACTTGGGGAGTGAAACATGGGACGGAAGATCTTGCTCTCTGACTGTTCTCCTCTCTGTATATCTGACTTTGTAATAAAAAATAAATCATAACAAAAAAGCTGTGTACCAACTGCAATAAGAAAAATCAAACTGTAGACCTGTGGGTGACACAGCTTAGAAACCTGCTCCAAAGAGAAGAACCAGATAACCAGAGGTACAATGATCAAAAACAGAAGAAGAGACAGAGGCGCAATGAATATTACTGAAGACTCCCCTGCAAAGGAGCAAAACCTTTTGCCAACATCAAAATTAACTGAGGAAGACATCAAGAAAATGGGGGACATAGAATTCAAAACACTTGTTATAAAACTTATCAATAACAAGAAGCATGTAAAAGCAGGCATTCAAGGAATTTCAGGAATATGTCACACTGAAAATGACTCAAATGAAAACTATCTATAATAAATGAAGAATACAGTGGAACAAATTAAAAGGACAGTGCAGAGTCTCCAAAATAGAATGAAACAAGCAAAGAGAGAATCCCAAAATTAGAAGATATTTCCTGTCACCAGGGCGCAACAAACAAAAAGCTGGAAGCAGAACTGGATCAGGCCAAAAAAGGAGTATTCAAGAATCGAAAGACATTGCTAAAAGGCCAAATATAAGAGTTACAGGAGTCCCAGAATGTGCAGAAAAAGAAGCTGGGATTACAAATGCATTTAATGAAATCATAAGGGAAAATTTCCCTAATCTGGAGAAAGAATTGGGAAACAACATCCAGGAGGGGCACAGAACTCCCAACAGGCTTGAACAAAGCAATCTTCACCATGACACATGATAATACAGTTCTCTTCAATCAAACATAAGAAAAACATCCGTAAATGGGCACGTGAAAAAAAATCAACTGACATATAAAGGAATGACAATTAAACTCACAAGAGACCTCTCACAGGAAACTCTACAGACAAGAAGAGAATGGAGTGACATGTTCCAGATTCTAAAAGAAAAAACTATTGGCCCAGGATAACATATCCAGCAAGGCTTTCCTTTGTCTTTGAAAATGAAATAAAATTATTCCACAGTCAAGAAAAGTTAAAAGAATATGCCTCTTCCAAACCTCCCTTACAAATGATACTTCAAGATGTTCTCTTAACAAAAAAAGGAATAGCGCCCACCAAACCAAAGGCAAAAGTGAAGAACATTCCAGTAAAACAACAAAAGACTAAAGCAATGAACAACCCATTACTAAAATGATAGAACCAAATTATCAGGGCCTGTTGTGATAGCGTTGTGGTTAAGGTCCTTGCTTTGCACGCACCGGGATCCCATATGGTCGCTGGTTCTAACCCTAGCACCCTGCTTCCCATCCAGCTCTCTCGTTGTGGCCTGGGAAAGTAGTTGAGGATGGCCCAAAGCCTTGGGACCCTGCACCCACGTGGGAGATGTGAAAGAGCTCCTGGTTCCTGGCTTCGGATTGGCTCAGCTCCAGCCATTGTGATCACTTGTTGTGTGAATCATCAGATGGAAGATCTTCCTCTCTGTCTCTCCTCCTCTCTAATATCTGCCTTTCTAATAAAAACAAATAAATCTTTAAAAAAAATTACCAACTATTTGTATTAACCCTGAATGCAAACAGCTTACAGTCATCAATCAAACATCACAGATTAGTAGACTGGATAAAAGAACAAAAAATCAGTAGCTTTTTAATACAGCATAGTGTCAGTAGCTCAGGTTCCTTTAAAAAACAACAAAGACTATTGCTTCCAACTTCCTTTTTAATTACAGAATGTTAATCACCTGATTCTCCTGTAGAAATCACTGGTGTGCAGCATAAGCTGGCAGAGGTTGGCACTGGGGGCTAAATCTGTCAAGTTAAACTCCAAAACCATGTGGAGAGTGTAAAATTCGAGAGCGGAAGTGGCCTAGTAGGGAAATAGTGGACACCGCCCTCTTGGGTTACCACTCCCACTGGAGAGCATGAAAACCAGGACAGGGGCAGGAGTGGCTAGACAAAAAGGCACCCACCAGTATGTGTATGGGCTGAATAGTAGGTTGGTTGGGTTGAACTAGGCTTCAATGCCCATTGACAAGTATGAGAGCTAAATGGGATGTGGGACAGACTGAACAAGTCTGCTGTACCTACTGGCATGCATGGGAACCAGGGTAGGGGGCAGGCCTGGTGGAGGTTATGAGGAGTCACCCAACTAGGTTGCTGCTCCCACTGGTTTGCATGAGGGCCAAGTATGAAGTGGGCAGGATTGGGCTGGACTGCAACACCCACTGGTTCAAGTGGAAGACAGCGATGGAAACAGAACTGACCAAGCAATTGCAACGACCAGCATGTGTATAAGCTGATTGGGGTGGCGGACTGTGTTGGACCCTGTACTGGCAAACACACACAAGAATCAGGTCTGGGATCACCTCAGATGTAGTTTCTTTGGAGATCCCTCCAACTGAACTGCTGATTCCAGAACCCCAACCATGAAGACTATGTCAGCCAGTGGATTCTGAAGAGATTTCATCATGCTTGGAAGAGCGATATGGGTAGCAGTTTAGAACTATTAAACTATTAAAACTGCTTGAACAGGACTCTCGGAGCATGCCTCACATCGGGGAACTGGGATGGGTGGGAGGCTGGGTGGGGCTTCTCCCTTTGTTTCTCCCCTGACCCCAGATACAGGGGAAAACAGTGATGATAGTAGTGTGGAAACAATGGTATTACCCACTTTTCTATAGCCCTTGACCCTTTGCACCCTAGTCAACTAAGTAAGATTATAAAATAATAATAATTATAATTAAAAAGTACAAAAAAAGAAATAATTGCCAAGCCATTCATTCCTTTAACCAACAGGGTCAACAATTTGATTTTTCCAAAGGACATTACTTATTAGTGCCCACATTTTAGACTTCTGCTTTGAGAAATAATTTTTTAAAACTTATTTTTGTTTATTTGAAAGGCAGGGTGACAGAGAGAGGGTGAGACAGAAGGAGGAAGAGATCTTCCATCTGCTGGTTGACCCTCCCAATGGCCATAACAGTCAGGGCTTCTCCAGGCTGCAGTCAGGAACCCGGAAGTCCATCTGGGTCACCCAGTTCAGGTCTCTCACAGCTTTGGACGACAGGACCCAGGTACCTGGGCTGTCCTCCACTGCCTTCCCAGGTGCGTTAGGAAGGAGTTAGATCAGAAGTGGAACAGCCAGGACTCTAGCCAATACACAGTCTTGGGATCTTAAACACTACACCACATGTCAGCCAACATATAGGTGAATTTTTATTATCTATTTCTTTCTCCTTTGAGTGACTGTAAGAGACCAAGAGACAGCTGTCACTCTCACCCATTGGTACACTCCCAAAATTTCTGCAATGGCCAGGACTGGGCTGGGTTGAAGGTGAGAGCTTGAAACTCAACGAGGTCTTTCACATGGGTGGTAAGAACATGGTCTCTAGGGCAATGACCTACTGAAGCCCAGGTCTGCATTGACAGCATGCTGGAGTCAGGAGCTGGAGCTGAATATGGAAGGTGAGAACTATAGATGAACTATAGAACTATGTGGGACACAGGCATCCTGATCACTGAGGTGGGAGAGTGTCTGCCCTCAGGTGCAATAATTAAAGAGAGAGAGAGAGAGATTTCATCTGCTGGTTCACTCTCCAAATAGCCACAAGAACTGGAACTGGGACATCCTGAAGCCAGGAGACAAAACTCAAGATGCATTTCCTGCTGTGTGGTAAGGGCCCCAGGCATAAGGCCAGTCTTTGCTGATTTCCAAAACACATCAGCAGGAAGCTAGATCAGAAGTAGAACAGTCAGGTCTTGAACTGGCACACAAATGAGATGCTGGCATCACAGGTGATTGCCTTACCCACTATGCCACCCTGCCAGCTCCTAATTGCTGAAAATTGTTAAACAGTTAAATTTCCCACTGCAACAAACCCTCCCCTTCGCCTGGGATGGCTGCTTCTTTCTGTTCCCGTGCCTGCTTCCCTAGTGGGGATTGTCCATTTAGTCTTCAGTTATCATGCTAGTTTCAGGCTGTTTCCTAATGTTACCTGGTTCCTGTTGACAGTGCACCTTGGAACACAGGGCAGTATTGGTGTTCCTAAACAACATGTTCATGGATATGAATAAAATGGAAGATTTCTACCCTTCCTCTAGCTGAAACCAACACTCTGCCTGGCTCTCACAGTCTTGTGACTCAGATGACACCCAGTTTATGCGTTTCTTCCGCCTGGAAGTTACTGGAGCTTTTCCTCCTGATGTTCCATGTAGCTGAGGGTTTATTCTCACCTTTACAGGACTATTCTCCCATATTTATTTGGAAAATCTATAGAACTTATGGTTTATAGAGTAAGTGTGTACCAATATGAGACTGCTGCTGTTTGCTTCACCTGCTTGTAAACACTGAAGTTCCCAATGTGATGCTTGTTGCCCTACCTGGCAGGGTGGATCTGAAGGAGCCACAGTGGATATTCTATGAACATATGAGAGGTTTCGAAGGCCTTCCAATGCAAGGTTTCCATCCTCCCCAGGTGAGGCTGTAACATGCACTTCAATGCCTCGCTAACTTTTGGCATTCATAACCCTTCAGGGGACAAACTACACTGCCTGAGGTGAGGAAATTGGGGCTGAAGAAGTCAGGCAGCATGCCTAGGGCCCCACAGCTCTGCAGAGCCTGAATTCACACCAAGCCTGACTCTGTTTAGACCAGAACAGGGGGTTGCTGGTAACGTCCGCTAGAACTATCAGAGCAAAAGTGTAAAGAACACTGTCAGCCTGGAAACAGCTTCCTGTGGAGGTGCCAGGCCCAAGTGGCTGCGAAATAGCAAGAACTTAAAGCAAGGTGCCTGAGAGGTCAGAGAAAGATTGCTTGGCCCAAGACACGACTGCTTGAGGCGTCACCTGCTCCCTTCCAAGGGCACATTTGCAGTCAGAGCACCTGCAGTGCCCACTCTGATACGGGACACAGTGTCCCAAGTGGCAACTCAGCCAGCGTGTCAAGTACCTGCTTCTCTCTTCTGGGTTATCTCCTCTCTCTCTGTTCCCCCAGTCCTCCATTCACCCTCGCATTCACTCATTTACTATCCATTCTACTAACATAAACCAAGCTCCAGCTCTGTGTCAGGACATAGGAGCGCATCTCCAACACTCCTCTGGACCACCAGGAAGAGCTGGTGATGAGAACTCTTCTCAGAGAAAGCCTGCAGTGAGGACCGTGGCTCACGCGCGCCCCCTGCTGCTCACCTGAGATGCGACAAGCTGGGCTGTAGGGCAACAGGGCCCCTGTAGGAAGAAACCCCTGGCACTGTCCTCTTGGGTCCTACCCTGTAACTGAGGCTGGCAGCTCCACCTGGGGGGTTCTGGGATTGGGTCTTTTCAGAAATGTTAAATGTGCCAGCTTTGCCAAATCCTGACCACAAACTGCTTTAACAAGCAGTGGGGAGATTTTTTTCACATGCACATTTTAATATCTTTTCCTTATTGTCGATTGAAAGGGGCTTGATTATAACTTGTCAAGATGAAGATTTTTTTTGGTCAGTTATGGTGGGAGTTCTGTGCCCCTCCTGGATGTTTCCCAATTCTTTCTCCTTATTAGGGAAATTTTCTTTATTGTTTCATTAAATACACTTTTAAATTCAGCTTCTCTTTCTGTACATTCTGAAACTCCCATAACTCTTATATTTGTCCTTTTAATGGTGTCTCTTAATTCTTGAATACCTTTTGACCAGCTCTACTTTCAGCTTTTTGATTGCTTCCTCATTGGGACTAGAAATTACTTGCATTCTGGAGATATTTTTTAAAGATTTATTTAATTTATTTTTAAAAAGGAGACATACAGAGGAGAGAGGAAGATCTTACGACCAATGGTTCATTCCCCAAGTGAGCGCAACAGCTGGAGCTGTGCCAGTACGAAGCAGGGAGCCAGGAGCTTCTTACAGGTCTCCCACGCTGGTGCAGGGTCCCAAAGCTTTGGTCGGTCCTCAACTGCTTTCCCAGGCCACAAGCAGAGAGCTGGATAGAAATAGGCCACCAGGACTAGAATTGGCCACTATAAGGGATCCTGGCACGTGCAAGCCGAGGAGTTTAACCATTATACTATCGCACTGAGCCCATCAATTCTGAGATTCTTTCTGCTGCCTCCTATTTCTATTACTGAAACTTTCACTGAAGTTTTAATTTGCTCTATTATGTCCTTCATTTCCAATAATTCAGCTTGATTTTGTTTTTGTGCAGCCTTTTCCTCTGTGGCACTCCTTAAATTTCTTGAATGCCTGCTTTACATGTTTCTCATTGTTGACAAGAACCTTTGTAATGAGTTTTCTGAAATATTTCTTTCAAGATTTATTTTTATTATAAAATCAAATATACAGAGAACAGGAGAGACAGAGAGGAAGATTTTCCATCTGGTAATTCAATACCAGATGACCACTATGGCAGGAGCTATACTAATCCAAAGCCAGGATTCCGGAGCCTCTTCCTGGTCTACACACACACACACACACACACCACACACATACACACACACACACACAGATTTAACCCGAGACCTGATTCTCTCACAGGCCATATACAGCCATGGGCAGGCCCACAATTACCTGACAGCAATTCTGAATCTCAATGGTGTGTACTGTGGTATGATCTCATCAAATGTGCCCCTACTACTCAATTATAAGTGCTGGGGACATGGTGAAGGAATAAAGTATGTAAAAAAAACAGGAGAGAGGAAGACTTGGGTGTGGAGCACAGCAGTTAGCATGCTGGTCAGGCTCTCTGTGTCCCACACTGGCAGAGTGCCTGGTTTT